ATTTCATGTAATTCTCAGTGTGGGAATGTGAAGTAGAGAGTATGTCCCACAAAAACTCATCTTTTGAATATGTTTGATGCACATGAACACAAAGAACAATGAATTTTGTAACTAACTTAATTTTACAGAACTGCATAAATAAAGATACAACATAAAAATACAACATTTGAAAACAACTCAGCTGAGCTGGTAATTCATGTGATGAGAATATTATCACAAATCAATATTCAAGACTTTTTTTTTCTTGCCACTTCAGCTCTCTAAGAAGTAAGATGACTATCTGAACTATACTGACAAAGCAAATAGTTCCTTTCCAACTCAAGAGCCAATCTTCTAGTTATCACATGTGATGAAAAGGTAGTGTAATTTGCCTTGGAATGTATAAAATCTTAAACTCGTTGTCATTAGTCTCTTATAAATGCTTGTTTATGAAACAAGAAGTAACAAGAAATTCAGACCCCTTGTCCAAGTTTACTATATATAAAAAAATTAAAGTATAGATCTATCCAGATATTTGGCCTTGCTTTATAAATTATTTGTAGATAATAATAATAATAATAATAATAATAATAATAATAATAATAATAATAATAATAATAATTTTATTTCTATACCGCCCTTCTCCCGAAGGACTCAGGGCGGTGTACAGCCAATTTAAAAACACAAGACACAACAATAATTAAAAATTAAAATAATTAAATAGATTTGGCCGATTTAAAACCCCAAAAATTAAAATACCCCAATTTAAAATTATTATATTGACAGCCCTGCCTGGCGGAACAACAGGGTCTTCAGTGCGCAGCGAAACACCCGGAGGTCGGAGATCTTATGTATTTCCGGGGGCAGTTCATTCCACAGGGCTGGGGCTCCCACAGAGAAGGCCCTCCCCCTGGGTGTCACCAGCCGACATAACTTGGCTGATGGCACCCTGAGGAGACCCTCTCTGTGGGAACGGACTGGTCGGTGGGAGGCTATTGGTGGCAGAAGACAGTCTCGGAGGTACCCGGGTCCTGTGCCATGGAGCGCTTTAAAGGTGGTAACCAACACCTTGAATCGCACCCGGAAGACCACTGGGACCCAGTGCAGCTCGCGCAGGAGGGGTGTCACGCGGGCACAACGAGGTGCGCCCATAACCACCCGCGCGGCCGCATTCTGGACCAGCTGGAGCCTCCGAGTGCTCTTCAAGGGGAGCCCCATGTAGAGAGCATTACAATAGTCCAGCCGGGAGGTGACAAGGGCATGAGTGACTGTGCGCAAGGCGTCCCGGTCCAGAAAGGGCTGCAACTGGCGGATCAGGCGAACCTGATAAAAGGCCCCCCTGGCCACGGCCGTCATATGCTCTTCTAAAGACAGCCGTGCATCCAGGAGGACACCCAGATTGCGAGCCCTCTCTGTGGGGGGCAAAGATTCACCCCCAATAGTCAGCGATGGCACCTGCTGACTATATCGGGACGCCGGCAGCCACAGCCACTCGGTCTTGGATGGGTTGAGTCTGAGCCTGTTCCTCCCCATCCCGACCCGCATGGCCTCCAGGCAGCAAGACATCACATCAAGGGCATCGTTGGGGTGGTCTGGGGTGGAGATGTACAGCTGAGTATCATCAGCGTACAGGTGACACTTCACCCCAAAACCACGGATGATCTCACCCAGCGGCTTCACATAAATGTTGAACAGAAGAGGCGAGAGGACCGACCCTTGTGGCACTCCCCATGCGAGATGCCTCGAGGTCGACCTCTGCCCCCCTGCCAACACGAACTGCGAGCGGCCGGAGAGGAAGGAACAGAACCACCGCAAAACGGTGCCCCCTACTCCTAACCCTCTCAACCGCTGCAGCATGATACCATGGTCAATGGTATCAAAAGCCGCTGAGAGATCTAATAGGACTAGGACAGAGGAGCAACCCCTGTCCCGGGCCCTCCAGAGATCATCCACCAACGCGACCAATGCCGTTTCTGTGCTGTGCCCCTGCCTGAAGCCTGACTGGTACGGGTCTAGATAGATAGCTTCATCCAGGTGCCTGGGCAGTTGTCGTGCCACCACACTCTCAACAACCTTCGCCACAAAACGAAGGTTGGAGACCGGACGGTAGTTAACTAATTCAGCCGGGTCCAGGGAAGGCTTCTTGAGGAGGGGCCTCACCACCGCCTCTTTCAAGGTGGCGGGAAAGGCACCCTCACTCAGAGAAGTAGTTATAATCCCCTGGAGCCAGCCTCGTGTAACCTCCCAGGAAGCCAGTACCAACCAGGAGGGACACGGATCCAATAAACATGTGGCCGCACTAATCCTACCCAGAACCCTGTCCACATCCTCGGGAGCCACAGGATCAAACTCCTCCCAGATAATATTCTCAAGAACTACCCTCGTCTCCTCCCCCGGACTCACCCAGTCGGAGTCCAAGCCTTCCCGAATCCGAGCGACTTTATTGTGCAGGAATTGCACAAAATCCTCAGCTCGACCCTGCAAGGGATCCTCCCGCACTCCCCCCCGAAGAAGGGAGTGGGTCACCCTAAACAGGGCGGCTGGGCAGTTCTCTGCAGATGCGATAAGAGCGGAAAAATGGTTAGATTTCGCCGCTTTTATCGCCACTAGGTAGGTCTTGATATAAGACCTCACCTGTGTCCGGTCGGAATCAGAATGACTAGTCCTCCAAATGCTCTCTAGGCGTCTTTTCCGATGCTTCATCTCTCTCAGCTCCTCAGAGAACCAAGGAGCCAATTGAGATCGGCATTGGGTCAGAGGCCGCAAAGGCACGACACGATCCAAAGCTCCGGCGGCCGCACTCTCCCAGGCGGCCACCAGCTCTTCAGTCGAGTCGTGTGTCAGAGTCTCAGGAAACAGCCCAAGCTCCGTCAGGAACCTTTCTGGATCCATCAGGCGCCTGGGACGGAACCATTTAGTCGGTTCCGTCTCCCTGCGGCAGGGGGAAGCGGTAGGAAAGTCCAAGTGAAGGAGCGAATGATCTGTCCATGACAAGGGTTTAATGTCTAAGTCCCCTCTACCAAGATCATTCAACCACTGACCAGAGATGAAAATCAAGTCCAGAGTGTGTCCTCCTATGTGAGTGGGGCCTTGAACTAACTGGGTCAGGTCCATGGCCGTCATGGAAGCCATGAACTCCCGAGCCGGCTATCTGAGGAACAGTGGTCTCCCTCGGACAAAGACTCTCCCTAATAATCACCGCCACTCCCCCACCCCTCCCCTGGGCCCTTGGCTGATGAAATGCACGAAAACCTGGTGGGCACATTTCAACGAGGGGGACCCCCCCCTCTTGGCCCAACCAGGTCTCCGTAATACCTGCCAGGTCCGCATGTGTGTATGAGTGTGTACACACATTGTGTACACATATGTGTGTGTGTGTGTGTATGAACATTTACAGATCAGAATTACCTCCTACACTTAAGTACACAAGAAGAACCTTTGTTCACAAATACAGAATGTGTGGATGTGGGAGACTTTCACAACCATCTTCAAATATTCCTTGAACATTTGGAGGAGATATTCAAATTTCTTGTAACTTCTGTATGTTTTAATAGCTTTGAGGGCCACTAAAATAAGATGCTGTTGGGGCACTTCTACTCTATATGAATGTTCATGTCATATCTCTTACAATGTAGTCACAAACCAAAGAGCAATATGAGAAAATCAGTTTTCATACTCCTCCTAATAGGAAAATGCAAATTCCTAACAACAGTAAAGATTCTTTGTTCTTTGAAAGGTAGAGACAATGAGCTAAATGCAACTACAAGTGAATCTATTCGATAACTTTGGAATGATATAGGAAATATCCTCTGTAAATTTTTAGTCTGGAAAAGATTCATTATAAGGGAGTGTCTCTCAGATCGTAAATACTAAATTACTTGCAGATTAACACAGCACCCTAAATTGTGCTTAAGAAGCAAGGGGTAACTAACTGCTGATCTTTCAACATGGCCTCATGTAATTCCTGTGTTACACAATAGTTAGCAACCCAAATAGCACATTCATACCAGGGTAGTCTCATGTGGCAGATACTGCAGTAGTTAAAAGTTAAGGGGTAAATAACTCTTGACGCTAACAAAGTGCTATGGGATGTGTTTAATATATTTTAAAAAGTTTATTTTATTTAAAAGTATTTATCTTCATAACTTGCTTAATATCTGCTCTTTTTCCATTTACCACAGTGTTATTTTATATTATTTTGAGGCAAATTTCAAGAAGAATGGCATATCTTAACTGCATATTTTGAATAATTTTATTATCTTGTTTAACTAATCTGCATAAAGAATTTGTCTGCCAGACCCTAGAGATCAACAAAAACAGTAACCACACTAATGTTGATAATGGATTTGAAGCTGAATCACACTGTTTACAAGAGTGATCATACTAAGAAGCCAGATCAGACAATTTCTTATATTTCTCTCTCCTTTTTCATTATAGACTTTTTCTGACAAAAGTTTCCTCTGCTCTTATATAATAGAATTACACAGATACTATGATAACATGAAGAAAACCATATTTCCTTTATCTATGAGACAGGGGTGGGTTTCACTTACCTTTACTACTGGTTGGCGTGCGTCTCCTGTCTGCGCATGTGCAGAACCTTCTGCCCATGTGCAGATCATATTTAATGATGTCCGGGCAGGTGGGCAGAGCCTCCCGCCGCCACTGCTACTGGTTCACCTGAACCGGAGTGAACCGCTGGCAACCCACCATTGCTATGAGACAATAATGCTATTCTGAATGACTCTTCTATTCTGCTGCACAAATATTTCCAAATCACAAATACAGTAATTGAATAAGCAGCTGATAATTTTATAATAATATGAAGGTCAATACTAACTTACATACACACAGGGATGCTAATCTCATTGTAAGTTCAAGTTCAGAATTTTACTAGTAGTGATTTCAGATATCATCTATGTCATCAAATCTGTAATTTTTCAATTCACTGTATTTCATTTATAAATTATCCCCCAGTAACTATCCACACTTGTGATAAAATTAAAATACTACAGGTGTACCTTTCTTTAAGCTCTTACATTAAGGAATTTATCCTCTATTTTGTATTGGTTTTCAAGAAGCAACTGGATCTGAAAGAAAATAATAATATGAAGAGTTACAATGCTTTTCCCACTCTTAATGTTTATGTTCTTAAAACATTTAAGACTATACGATTTATTTGCATTAAAACTTACTATTCAGAATTAAAACTCCCAGGATCAGGCATGAAGATACACATGCTGGAGTAAATTATCAAAATAACTCACTCTTATAATATTCAATATGGCTTGTTGGTCATGGTTTAATATGCTGTATAAGTCCACCCTTATAGCCTAATAGTTATTCTGCTGTATGTAATCAGCCAGTTGTGGTTTACTGAATAAAATATAATTAAGTTAGTCTTAGTAGGTGGAAGCATCTGGCTGATATCTAGGTGCAATAGATATGCAGGATGGGAAACTTCAACAGAATACCAAAATTAGAGTACTGAAAACTGAAAACTTTCCAGAGGAAGATAAGGACAACTATTTATACTATATTGACACGAAAACTACACAGAAAAAGAACTATGTTCTCTTGGCTTTGGTGCTTCCCTGATTATGATATACCTGTCCCAGTTAGCAAAACTATTCCTAATGCAATATTTTCAACAGATTACTGTAAAGCTCTACTTAATTATTATTATACTGGGAGTATTTAGCACATGATAACTGATAGGATAAATTCTGTTACTGCCAGCATTACTCAAATGACATCCCCCTAAAGGCCTTCATAGTAACAGTATGGATAACTATGAGAACAAGTACTTTACATACTACAGGTAGTCCTTAACTTACAACAGTTCATTTAGTGACCTTTCAAAGTTACAAAAGCACTGAAAAAAGTGACTTATGACAATTTTCACACTTATGACTGTTGCACCATCCCCATGGTTATGTGATCAAAATTTGGATGCTTGGCAATTGACTCAAATTTATGATGACTGCAGTGTCCCAGGGTCACATGATCAAGTTTTACAACCTTCTGACAAGAAAATCAATGGGGAAGCCAGTTACACTTAATAATCTTGTCACTAACTTAACAACAGCAGTGATTCACTTAACAACATTGGCAAGAAAGGTTGTAAAATGTGGCAACATTCACTTAACAAATGTCTCAGTTAGCAACAGAAATTTTGGGTCAGTTGTGGTTCTAAGACGAGGACTATCTGTATTTTCCATGATCATGTATCTTCTCATGTGACATCAATAGACATAATAGTATCTGCATATACTTTACTGCCATAGTTGTTTCCAGGTTTTATTCACATTAAATAATATGCTTTTTTCTCTTGAAAGCATTCATACTGAATGTGTAATTGATTTTATCTGGATGATACTGGTAAGGTACTGGTACTGGTAAGGCTCATGTATTCAGCAATGAATTCAATAAAATCTGAATCAACATTTTAGCCAATAATTTTCTATGGTAGTTTAGCTATTTTAATCTATGGAATGAATGAAATTAAGGAAAGCAGCAGAATGGTAAAAAAAAACCACACGTAGTCCTTGTTTTATAACCATTCTTTTGGTGAAAAGATACTTATGACCAGTTCTCATACTTACAACCCTACAGTCACATGATCATGATTTGGGTGGTTGGTAACATTCACCCCTTTATGATGATTATTGCAGCATCCCGCAATCGTGATCATTATTGGTGATCTTCCTAGCCAGTTTCCAACAAGCAAAGTCCATTGGGAAGCTGGAGTGGAAAGTCACAAGTCATGTGACTTCTCACTTAATGGTGATTTCTCACTTAACTGTAGTGATAATTCTGGTAACAAAGATCACAAAATTGAGTGCAGTCATATGATGCTTCACTTAATGACAAATTTTCTGGCCCTACTCAGTTGTAAATTAAGGACTACTTGTATATAATGTATAATGAACTAAAATATCCATAGCAAACAGCCAATATAGTTTATATTAAGGGAGATACTATGTTGGTTCTCTATTTTATTTACTGGAGATATTTAGCTAAGTAATTAAACTGAAAAATGGAAAAGCTTCAGGAAATTATTGTATTATGACTGAAATGCCAAAAGCTGGTGGTCACAATTTACACAAGATACTAGCAAAACTATACTCATAATGCCTCAGAAAAGAAAAAAACCTGATGCATGGAAAAATGCTGAAGTGATTCTTATATACAAGAAAGGGGCCAAGATTATTTAAAGAACTATTACCCAATAAGCCTTCTTTCAGTCATCCACAAGGATTTCACCAAGATAATAGCAAAAAGAATATTGAGAATATTAAATGATGCACACCCAAAGGAGCAAGCAAGGTTCAGAAGTGGCCACAGCACAATGAATCACATCCACGTTGTTCAGCAAGTCATTGAAAGGCACAACAAGTACATCATGCCTCTGTGCATGGCTTTCATTGACTATGAAAAGGCATTTGACTCAGTATTCCAGAATAATTAATGCATTGCTCAACCAAGGCATAGACACTGCTTACATAACTTACTACAATCAATATATGAAAAAACAATGGTGACAATTTGCCTTATCTTAAAGTGGAAATCAACATAGAATGAGGTGTACGACAAGGCGATAATAATATTACCTATCTTTTTCTCAGCCTGCCTTGAAAAAGTATTTCACAAAGTAGACTGGGCAAAAGATGGAATAAAAATCAATGGCACCTATTTAAATCACTTAAGATTTGTAGATGATGTTATTTTCTAAACAGGAGAACCATTTAGCTTTAAAAACCTGAAAAAGAGCTAGGTTATGTTTAATAAATTTACTAAAGAAAGAAAAAAATTATATCTAGAGAAGAACTAGATATAGTAGACCACTATATATACCTTGGCCAATGGATCTCAATGGAAGATGATACAATAAAGAAAAGTTGTGATAAATATGGTTGGCAGGCATTTGGCGCAAGCTAAATGTAATTTTCAAGAACAACTCCCCCCTGGCCTCCCGGGTGGTTACACGAGGCTGGCTCCAGGGGATTATTAATGCTTCTTTGAGTGAGGGTTTCTTCCCTCCCTCTCTGAAAGAGGCAGTGGTGAAGCCCCTCCTCAAGAAGCCCTCCCTGGACCCGGCTGTATTAGCAAACTATTGTCCAGTCTCCAACCTTTGCTTTGTTGCGAAGGTTGTTGAGAGTGTGGTGGCACGACAACTTCCCCAATACCTTGATGAAGCTGTCTATCTAGATCCGTTCCAGTTGGGCTTCAGGCCAGGGTACAGCACAGAAACAGCATTGGTCGCATTGGTTGATGATCTCTGGAGGGCTCGGGACAGGGGCTGCTCCTCTGTCCTGGTCTTATTAGACCTCTCAGTGGCTTTTGATACCATCGACCATGGTATCATGCTGCGACGATTGGAGGTTGGGAGTGGGGGCCACCGTGTTGCGGTGGTTCTCCTCCTTCCTCTCCGACCGTACGCAGTTTGTGTTGGCAGGGGACAGAGGTCAATCTCGAGGCACCGCAAGGGTCAGTCCTCTCGCCCCTTCTGTTCAACATTTATGTGAAGCCGCTGGGTGAGATCATCCGTGGTTTCGGGGTGAAGTTCCACCAGTACGCTGATGACACCCAGCTGTACATCTCTACCCCGGACCAGCCCAATGATGCCCTTGACGTGATGTCCCGGTGCCTGGAGGCCGTGCAGATCTGGATAGGGAGAAACAAGCTCAGACTCAACTCTTCCAAGACCGAGTGGCTGTGGTTCCCGGGGTCCCGGTATAGTCAGCTGGTTCCATCGCTGACTATTGGGGGCAAGATCTTGGCCCCCTCAGAGAGGGTTCGCAACTTGGGTGTTCTCCTGGATGCACGGCTGTCTTTGGAAGATCATATGATGGCCGTGGCCAGGGGAGCTTTTTATCAGGTTCGCCTGATACTCCATACTTTCTGGACTAGGATGCACTGCGCATTGTCACTCATGCCCTCATCACGTCCCGTCTGGACTACTGTAACACTCTCTACATGGGCTTCCCTTGAAGAGCACTTGGAGGCTCCAACTGGTCCAGAATGCGGCTGCGTGGGTGATTATGGGGGCGACATGGCACACCCATGTAACACCTCTCCTGCGCAAGCTGCACTGGCTCCCGGTGGTCTTCTGGGTGCAATTCAAGGTGTTGGTTACCACCTTTAAAGCGCTCCATGGCTTAGGACCAGGGTATATACGAGATCGCCTTCTGCCACCGATAGCCTCTCACCAGCCAATATGCTCCCACAGAGAGGGGCTCCCTCAGGGTGCCGTCGGCCAAACAATGTCGACTGGCGACACCCAGGGGGAGAGCCTTCTCTGTGGGGGCATCAGCCCTCTGGAATAAGCTGCCCCTAGAGGTTCATATGATCCCTGACCTGCGTACCTTTCGCTGCACCCTGAAGACTCTTTTATTCCAACAAGCCGGACTGGCCTAATAGGAATTTTAAATTGGGTGTCTGTTAGCTTTTAATTTTGTGGGCCAAATTTTTATATATTTGTTTTTAAATTGTTTTTAAATTTTGTAAGTGTATATGTGTTTTAAGATGGCTGTACACCGCCCTGAGTCCTTTGGGAGAAGGGCGATATAGAAGTGTAATAAAATCTAAAATCTAAATCTAAACCTATGCCTAAAGAGAAAATTTTTCAATCAGTATTTGCTATCTGCTCTAACATATGCCAGTGAAACATGGACACTAACGTCACAATAGATACAAAAGCTATGAGTATCGCAAAGAGCCGTGGAAAGATATATGTTTGGAATTACAAGACAAGATAGAAAGACCTGCACATGGATTAGAGAACAAATGAAGGTATATGATATCATCAAGACAGTAAAAGAATTGAAATGGAAATGAACTGGTCACATAGCAAGAAGAACTGATGGCAGCTGGACCAAGGCAGTCACAGAATGGTTCCTACTTGATAAAAAACGTCCACGAAACAGACCTAAAACAAGATGAATCAATTATATCAGCAAGTATTGCAGGCCCAACTGGCAAAAGAAAGCTCAAGATCATATAGGTTGGAAACATGCGGAAGAGGCCTTCATCCTGCAGTGGATAGACAATGGCTAAAATGATGGTGATGATGATGAATTAAACTCTAACCACAAAATGTCAAAACCTGTATATTTTAACTGAATGTTGTTACATGCTCATAGGAACAAAGCTATAAGTCTGTCGACTAAAAATTTGTGAACATGTATGTCTTTCAGAAACTAATGTTGGAACAATATTTATCATAAGCCTAAAAATAAATAACCTACTCCTGATATTATCTTCATGATCAATCTGAGAATGCTATTTATTTAAAAAAAGCAGCATGTTTAGAGTATGCAAGAAAACTACATTTAGTTGTTGCCTAACTTAAAATTATAGCTAAATATTTTAGGAGTAGATAATATAAGAGCATCTTTATGTTTGAAACTGAAACCAAATCAACTGAAGTAATCAACAAAGATAAATACATAATTTTAGTCATAATATTCTAAAATTCAACATCTTTTTTGAAAAGTCAAAGAACAGATACATCTTACTGAGCGTTAGTTTCCCTAATCATACAGTAAATTAAAATAAAAAAAACTTTTATTTTATTTTGGCTTGCATAAGCAAAGATGTGTGTAAGAAATCTATAGTGTGTATTTGATAGAAGTATACCTGTTCAATCTCACTAGTTCTAAAACACCAATGGGAACTCTGCTAGCCTTATATATTTGCAGCCTAAAAAAATGGTTCCCTGTTCCACCTGCCAAGTTCTGTGGAAATCTCTTCCATTTGAATTAAAAATGCTTCACTATATACTAAGATTTCAATTGCTCTAATGTTATAAATGCATGCTCTGGCACTTTGTGCATTTGTTTGGGTTAAAAAGAGCATAAAACTCTCATAGTATTGCACTTTGTTATTTATTACTGTTATTTTTTTTAATATATAGCAAAGTGATGCAATATACTGCCTTTTTAAATTGAGGTTTTAGTAAGAAAAGCAAAAAGGAATTGTTTTATTTCTTGTATATACTATTGCTTCATTTCTTAAATCAGATAAAACAGCATATCTTTCCAGATGCATAATATTTTTAAACAAACTTACAACAGAATAAAATGGTTACTTGCCTAAAATCTTTGCACGTGCACACACACACACACACACACACACACGCACACACACACGAGATAGGGACAACAATCAAAATTGCAATATTTCCTCATCTCTTCCTTTTCAGTTACAGTCAACATCAGAGAACAATATACAACATTTTGCATAAAAAAACAACAGAAAACTTACAAATAAGTTTTGTGGCCATACATTATTACTGTTAAGGTTTATTAAAATAGAAGGTTCTTATAAGCAAATCTGAAAAAATAGTAAATGTATTGCAGTCAATTGATTTATTTTCACATTTTTGCAAATTCTGCATCAGCAGACTTACCAAGGTTGATGAGCTGGAAGAAAATCAGCACAAACTAATAAGCAGAATATCAGACTGCAGTTGCAGTTGATGTCTTCAAAAGAATTCATATCCATATAGTTATAAGAATTACTGTGCTTTTCCTTTGTCTCTCATATTTTAACATAACATTAAAAGATGGGATGATTTTTTTTCATTCTAATTTTGCTGAGAAAGCTCCGTGCTTCTGAAACCAATTGCTGCTAGTCTGCATTAGGAAGTTGTACAAAACAGGCTGTTTTTAAATGGTCAACTGCATCCTCTCTGGACCTCCCAAGTTTCACTGTGATCAGCAAGAGCTCTATAGCAATAAAATGGGGGTTAAATGTTTCCCTGTATTTAAAAGCAAGAAAATCTGCTGAGCTGTCTCCAAAACTAGATCTGTTTAATTTTAACTTGTTACAAAAACTATTATCTATATAACTATGAAATATATAAATATGAAGTTAGTTAACTCTAAAAGTTCCCCTCTGATTTTTTTTACTTCTGTTTTAAAAAAAACTTAAAGAACTGTTTTATTTTGACCTAGCTAATTATTGTAGTATTTGACAATTAGCCACAAACTTCATTCTGATAAAAAAAAAAATGATGGGAAATCTAGAAATAATCTGTTTAGAGACAAAGGAGCCTTTTAGCACAGGAAAATGAAAATGCTCTGAAGTCAGAATGAGTAAGAAAAAATGACCACATTTAAATACAAAGTTGATGCCCCAGTTTTATAATTTTTGCTTTTTTTTTTTTTGCTTTTGAAGCCATTGCCTTGACACATTTGGTCAAGAACAATGATGCCTTTCAAACTTCCCTCCATGGAAAAATATGACATCTATAAAAACAATGTAACTTTGCTGTCACAGAACAGAATGTGAATTCTAGAAAAATCAACTCAAAAAAAATGTTTCCATTACATTTGGCATGCTCAAATTGTTCCTTTCAAGCCCACTTCATATTCTGAATCTTCACAAAAGCTCATTCACTATGTTACCCTATATTAACACAATCTACTTCAAAGTGTATTTATTGTTTGGAAAGCTAACAATAAGCACAGGCAGATGATTTTACACAGGAAATATCTTTAATCTGCTTTGTTAACTATGGCCATTGTAGATATTAGTAAAGTTGGGTTTCAGTTAATAAATAATGGCAACATCAAACATACTTCAAATATTTATATGTTCAGTTTGGGGTTTGTTTGTTTGCTTTTTTCCTAAATATAATAGGACTTTTTTTAAAAAATAGCAACATTTGATAGCACCTGCCAATATGATGCTGAATTATATATGTATTTTTAATTAATTATGAAGCACCTCAATATTAAGCACCTCAGTATCATTAGGCTCACTGGATAAAATTGTGTACCTAATTCTTCTGAAATTAATAGGCATTTAATTTTTATAAATAAAATTACTTGCCCCAATTAACACATTATTTCTTCTTTGAATCCAGATTTCTAGTAATTAATTTTATCTTTTTTACATTTGATAGTATCTAGAATATAAATAAACTCAACTGCATGATTAAAAATCAGCTTTTTATAGAAAATGTCTAAATGGTTGCTTGGAATAATGATACTTCTCCCATTCTTTAAACATGAATAGGAGGAGGCCAGAACTGATTTTGTAGCTTGATTGACCAAGTCTAATCATAATTATTTCTGCACACTGCTTCACTACAACAGTGCCTCCATTAAAGACCAAATGCTTTTGAAACCCTCCCCTTTTCACCTCTACTTGTGACCCACTATTTTTCAAACAGAAACCACTCAAAATTTTCAAAAGGAGATGGTGTATCTCAAAATCTATACTAAACTGATTTGATTTCTAGATTTATTAGTATCTATAACTAAATCTGCTACTACACATTAGGATTAAGTTGTCAGTCGTTTTTATACTTTGAACTATTTTTACTCCAAGTTAACTTATTTGAATTAATTGGATTTCCACTTGAAGATTTGTTATGTACTTTTAAAAGAAATCAATTTATCTATTATATTTAGTTCAAACTAAATCTCACAGTTCCAAATGAGGTACTGTATGTTTCTAAAAAAAAGAGTGTATTGGGTTGGAACCCAACATATAACAACTTTTTCAATTTGTTAAAAGGTAATTGATCAAATAAGAATCAAATAGCATCAATTAACAAGAGTTTTTAAAACTTGGCTATTGGCTACACAACCAAAGATCAAATTAAACTTGGATTTTTTTATATTAGATTATTTCCCAGCAGCATTATTCAATCAAGGAGCACTGAGAATGAATACAACTTTGGATTCAGTAGAACCAGTTACAAAAACCACAGACCCACATTAAGGAAAAAAAAATGCTAAGGCCTCAGTTTCTATCCAGAATAACTTTTGTTAGCATGGTCTAAAATAGCAGCAGATTTGCATCCTCATCCTGTTAAAATTGGACAAAAGTAGTTCTTCTACAGGCTTAAATAAATATATACTAGTTTCACTGAATTTTGTACAACAGCATAACTAATTTTATTATTTATTTATTTATTTATTTATTTATTTATTTATTTATTTATTATTTAATTATTTATTTATTTATTTATTTATTTACCACCCTTCTCCTGAAGGACTCAGGGCGGTGAACAGTCAGAATAACATACATATAATGTGAAATAAAAATAATTTCAAATAATTAAACCGATTTGGCTCATCAATTAAGATCCTCAGTGCAGAATTTAGATAAACTGAAAATTTATGCCAGTCCGGCTTGGTGAAATAGAAAGGTCTTCAAGGCACGATGGAAAGTATGGAGATCTGGGATCATTCGTATCCCTGGGGGTATCCTGTTCCATAGGGCAGATGCCCCCACAGAGAAGGCTCTCCTCCTGGGAACCACCAGCCGACATTGCTTTACTGACGGCACCCTGAGGAGCCCACTCTGTGGGAGCATACTGGTTGGTGGGAGGTTATCGGTTGCAGAAGGTAGGTACCCAGGTCCTAAGACATGGAGCACTTTAAGGTAAGAACCAACACCTTGAAGTGCACTCAGAAGACCACCAGGAGCCAGTGCAGCTCAAGTAGGAGAGGTGTTACATGTGAGTGCCATGTCGCTCCCATAATCACCCATGCAGCTGCATTCTGGACTAGTTGGAGCCTCCGGGTGCACCTCAAGGGTAGCCCCATGAAGAGAGCATTACAGTAGTCCAGTCGGGAAGTGACGAGGACATGAGTGACTGTGCATAAGGAGTCCTGATCTAGAAAGGGGCGCAACTGGTGAATCAGGCAAACCTGATAGAAAGCTCCCCTGGCCACGGCCGTCATGTGCTCTTCTAAAGACAACCGCGTGTCCAAGAGGACACCCAAGTTGCGAGCCTTCTCTGTGGGGGCCAATGACTCACCCCCAATAGTCAACGATGGTATCAGCTGGCTATATCAGGACGCCGGCAGCCACAGCCACTCGGTTTTGGAAGGATTGAGTTGGAGCCTATTTCTCCCCATCCAGACCCGCATAGCTTCGAGGCACCGGGACATCACTGCAAGGGCATCATTGGGGTGGTCTGGGGTGGAGATGTACAGCTGAGTATCATCAGCGTAAAGATGGCACTATACCCCAAAACCACAGATGAACTCACCCAGTGGCTTCACATAAATGTTGAACAGAAGAGGCGAAAGGACTGACCCTTGTGCCACCCCGCAAATAAGGTGTCTTGAAGTCGACCTCACCCTTCCTGCCAACACAGATTGAGACCGGTCAGAGAGATAGGAGGAGAACCATCGTAGAACAGTGCCTCCCACTCCCGCCCCTCCAGTCGGCGCAGCAAGATACCATGGTTGATGGTGTCAAAAGCCGCTGAGAGATCTAATAGGACCAGGATAGAGGAGCAACCCCTATCCCGGGCTCTCCAGAGATCATCAACCAATGCAACCAATGCCGTTTCAGTGCTGTAACCAGGCCTGAAGCCGGACTGGAACGGATCTAGGTAGACAGTTTCATCCAGATACTGCGGGAGTTGCTGTGCTACCACACTCTCAACAACCTTTGCCAAAAAGCGAAGGTTGGAGACTGGACGGTAGTTTGCTAACACAGCCGGGTCCAGAGAGGGCTTCTTGAGGAGGGGCCTCACAACCGCCTCTTTCAGGGCGGAAGGCAAAAAACCCTCACTCGAGGAAGCATTTATAATTCTCTGGAGCCAGCCCGTGTGACCTCTCGGGAAGCCAGTACTAACCAGGAGGGGCATGGGTCCAATAAACATGTGGTTGCATTCAACTTCCCCAGTAATCTGTCCACGTCTTCAGGGATCACAGGGTCAAACCCATCCCAAATAACATCTTCAAGACCTGCCTCTATCACCCTGTCTGAACCCACCCAGTTAGAGTCCAAACCTTCCCGAATTTGAGCGATTTTATCATGCAGATATTGTGCAAAATCCTCAGCTCGACCTTTAGGTCACCCTAAACAAGGCGGCTGGGTGATTTTCTGTGACTTTTATTGAACCTTTTAAAATGTTCTTGACAATGCATTAATTACTCCTTTATCAGCTACAGAAAATTTACACAAAGCATGTTATTGTTAGTTGCGAAGTCGTGTCTGACCCATTGTGACCCCATGGACAATGTTCCTCCAGGCCTTCCTGTCCTCTACCATCCTCTGGAGTCCATTTAAACTCACGCCTACTGCTTCAGTGACTTCATCTAGCCACCAAATTCTCTGTCATCCTCTTCTTCTTTTGCCCTTAATCTTTCCCAGCATTAGGCTCTTCTCCATTGAGTCCTTCCTTCTCATTAGGTGGCCAAAGTATTTGAGTTTCACCTTCAGGATCTGGCCTTCTAAAGAGCAGTCAGGGTTGTTCTCCTCTAGGACTGACCAGTTTGATCACCTTGTAGCCCAAGGGACTCGCAGGAGTCTTCTCCAGCACCATAGTTCAAAGGCCTCAATTCTTTGGCGCTCAGTCTTTCTTATGGTCCAACTTTCATAGCCATGCATTGCAACTGGGAAAACCATACCCTTGAGCATACACACTTTTGTTTGCAGGGTGATGTTTCTGCTTTTTAGTATGCTATCTAGATTTGTTGTATAAAGGAATGATTTTATACTTATGGACAATGTAATCATATTATACCATGGTGGCAGGATTGTATATTTTATTTGTGTATTAGTGTATAGAATATATTAATAAAAATTATATATATATAAAAAAAAAAAAGATTTGCCATAGCGTTCCTCCCCGGGAGGAAGCGACTTTTAATTTCTTGGCTGCAGTCCCCCTCTGTGGTGATCTTGGAGCCCAGGAAAATAAAATCTGTCATTACCTCCATTTCTTCCCCATCTATTTGCTAAGAATTGAGAGGGCCGGATGCCATGATCTTAGTTTTCTTAATGTTGAGTTTCAAGCCAACTTTTGCACTGTCCTCCTTCACCCGCATCAGAAGGCTCTTTAATTCCTATTCACTTTCTGCCAGTAGAGTGGTATCATCTGGATATCTGAGATTGTTGATATTTCTCCTGGCAATCTTAATTCCAATTTTTGATTCATCTAGCCCCGCCTCTCTCATGATGTGCTGTGCATATAAGTTAAATAGGCAGGGCAACAGTATACAGCTTTGCCTAACTCCTTTCCCAATTTTGAACCAATAAGTGGCTCGGTGTCTAGTTCACACTTTGCTTCTTGGCCCACATCTAGGTTTCTCAAGAGGCAAATAAAATGGTCTGGTACT